CATAGTGATTTGGTTTTGTACGCTTCACCGCAAAATTGAAAATTAAAATTTCTATCACTGACATGAGAAGTAGATAGTTGTAAAAATGTATCCCAAAAAAAGGAAAAGAAAAAACAAGTAATCGATGCCCTACCACCTAATTAAACAGGAAAATAAGTTACACCTTAAGACCAGGAAAGACCGAACACATTCAATAAGAGATAAATACGTGCGAATCTTTTTTTTAATACTACTATCCCTTCTCTTAATAAGTTTTACTGAGTTGGTTAGCTCTCATCTTGCCTATTGGCACCTCTAGGGGGTTGTTATGGCTAACTCACTAATAAACCTCCAATTTTGCACCCGAGCTTGTCACCCCGGGCTTGCCTAAGGTGGTTTGCCTTCTACTGTGGATTGCAGGATATTACAGTGGGTGTGGGTTCAGTGGCGGAGCTAGAATAAAATTTTAATGGGGGCATTTCAATATTACTTGTGTAACTATAGAACATAACTTGAATTTATATAAAGAGAATTAAACATTTTTGAAACACGAGAATCAAACATTTAGACGATATTTGATAGCTATTATTTTCTTTTAATTATGGAGAGCACATTTTTATGAAAGTATGTAATACAATTAATGTTTTTGTAATTTTTTCATTGTGATTAAAAATAGGCTAGTCTTAAAAAACTAAGTTTAATTATTAGAAGTACATCTTTTTATAATAAAAAAGAAGTATGTTTACAGTTTGTTTAACCAAGACATTCATAATGAGCCAAAGTATTTATTGAAGACTGTCATAAACTAGAGGGTTTAAATAGAATTAAGCAGAAAATGCAAGGACTTAATTGCAAATGTATAATAGTTGGCAAATTGCAGACGGCATAAATAGGGCTGGCAATTTCTGACACGACCCGGAATTTTGACACAAACCCGACACGAAATAAACGTGTTCGGATTGGGATTTTAGACTCGTATAATAAACAGGTCGAGTTAGGGTTGACCTGTTTATTATACGGGTCGGGTTCGGGTCAACCCGTCGGGTTACCCAGATCACCCGTTTACATATAATATGTATATTTTCGAGGGGTATTTTGAGAATTTCGTAACATTAGTAGCCCTAATTGTAAGACTATATATATCCTAGCTAGGTTCACTTCTACTATATTCTTTCATTCTTTTCTTCCTTGTGGCGGCCGACCAAACACCAAACTTTACTTCTCTCCTCCACTCTTCTTCAGATCTAGGAGAATAAGGTGTTCTTCCCTTTGCTACACTCCCAAAAGGCAGAGCCTATGAGGTGGATAGACGATGCAAATTTAGCAAGTTCCTTGCAGTCCCGAGACACCAAAAACGTTAATTCAATTCTAATTAGTCATCATCTTCCATCTATTTTGCTATTGTTTTCTATTTCCTTGGTACTTGTTGGTTAATTTGTTTGAATTAGTCTAAAAATTATTTCGGTTTGGCCACTCGTGTGTCTTTAGAAAAACATAATCGCGGTGGCGGTTTTTGTGTACGTCGGTGCCAGCGCAGATTGCCGAAGTGATGATAGAGGTAGCTGATTACGAGAAAAGCTCCCCAATCTTCTGCTTGGGAGATCAAATCCTTGCCCTGTGCCAGTAATTCCCTTAGCTATAAGATCTTCACATTCCTGCAACAATAAGTAGCTCATTACTAATATGCTACAGGGTAGATCTGGGATTTACTCCCTTGATAGCTCTTGTCTAATTTTTTCTTGGATTGTAAATTTGTAAGTTGGCAATTGGCAATTAGTTCTGTTTGAGCATTCACGGGTGATGAATGGATCTATTATTATTATTATTATCACAGTTGTTTAAGACTCAGGTTCTCTACTCTTCGTTTCTGTTTTGTAATTTTTCTGAATCAATTTTTTTCTTTACAGGTTAAAAAGGCCGATCCGGTTTATAAAAAGTCAGGTTAGGGTTACGACTATTGACCTGTATAATTAAACAGGTCATGTTCGAGTTAACTAAGGCTCCATTTGGACAAGAGTTTCAAAAAGACTTTTATGGCTAAAAAGTCTGTTTAGAATTTAAAATGCATTTGGGCAAAATAATTAAGCTCTTTTCTAAACACCATTTTGAAAAAAAAAAGGTTTGAAACAGACTTTTTAGAAAATAGGTAGGGGGGTATTTTTCAATTTTTTTGAACAATCCTTTTTTCTCCGTTCGCGGGTCGAAATTCGGGTTATGAAAAAACGGGTAATGTATATAATGGAGAAGTGTCGTATTCTTTCAGTCTTGCCCTAGATCCGCCGCCCCTTTCCCATTTCTCACTCTCTCTCCTTCACCCGTCCGGCACCCCGACGACGTCGACAGCGACGGCAAACCTCCCCGTGACAGGTACTCCTCTTCATCAATCATCCTCTCTCAATCTCTCATACTTCTTTTGTGTCTTTTCCTTTCGATTTGAAGATGGCTTCATTTTCGCTTGTGATGTAAATTAAATTTATGTTGTTTTTTGGATTTTATGGTACATTTATCAGCTCTGTGCTCATGGGTTTATTCCTTTATTCCTGAAAATATCTTTTCCCGTCCATTTAGGATTCATCTCTTCATTGAGTGTAAAAAAATGTATGTTTTTAATCGTTTTTTTTTTTTGCTATAAAAACTGGATGCACTAATTTGTTGAATTCACTCTTGAAGGGTTAGATATGTGCATTTGTGAACCGGAAATGCTGTACTGTTTGTTGGATTTTCTTTGTATTAGTGATTTATGTTTACTTGATACATTTGTTGATTTATGTTAACTGTTTGCTCTATATGGTTTGGTTCACGCTTTAATTCCATGAATTTAAATTTTGTGCTGCTGTAACTAATTTGAGCTGGGTTTTACTTTACTTTGTAGGCTTTTGTTAAAGCCCAAAAGGGTAAAGCTTACTTCAAAAGGTACCAAGTTCAGTTTAAGAGGAGGAGAGGTAAATAGGTTTCTACCTTGCTTTTGCTTGACCAGGGATTTAGTCATATAGTGATGAAATATTTTGTCATTTTTGTAACTTTCCATGAAATGTTTAGAACAATCTTCATGGAAATGGTAGTTTCGAGATCGTTTGGGCTCTAGGATTAAATGTTTTAGGAGGTTAGGGTGAGTGGATCTTTGGGAATTTTTTTTTTAAATTAGAAAAGATCGAATATGTATCTGTAGCTTTAAATTATGTTCCGTTAGAAAATTAGCATAATTTGATAAGTTCTTCTTATAAAGTAGTTTTGGTTTGCCCTAGAAAATTGGGTTATTCTTTATTTCCTATGAAAATCAGTGATGGGATTTAATCTTGTTTCCTTTATGTTAAGTGTCTGGCTGAATTAGAGTACAAATGTTGATAGATTTAAGCTGAATTTCATGTTTGGATTGCCAAAGGGATATATACATGATCAGGCCTGATTGGATTCATCTTTTGGAATTCATTGGGGGAAAGAGTACATTTGTGGCAGTGGGACATGTAGTAACGACGTATTGTGTTTTGTTGGCTTAGTTACTGTTTCTTCTGATACAGTTATCCCCTAATTTAACTTGCTCGGTTCGTTAGATTTGTGGTTGATTTGATCTTACTTTCATGCTTTTCTCTCTCTCTCTCTCTCTCTCTCTCTCTCTCTCTCTCTCTCTCTCTCTCTCTCTCTCTTGCATCCCATGTTTCAAGTTCTATTATTTAGGTTAATCAAACTAATTGATCTGTGGGTTTTCAGTTGGAGGAGTTCTATTATTCTGGTAGCTATTTTGTTCTGATTTGAATTGATTTATATGCAAGTAGGGTTGATTTTTGTAAGTTTCTATCATTTGATTAGTTTCTCTGGTTTAGATTATTTTTGGAAAACCTGGGTCTGTTTGATCTTGTTTTGTGGCTCGGTTTCAGTTTTAGTGCATTGCAAATGTGAAAAAGTTTCCTGTTCCAAAATAGTATATTTTGAATGTTGGAAAATATCCCATATGTTAAGCTGTGCTGAGCCAAAATGTCCAAGTTTGAGGTGAATTTAAGATCTTGTTGCGACATCATTTTGGTTAAATATAAAGATGAATGATGCACACATGCCCTTGTAAAGCTGAATTTTTTTAGTTCCTTTTTGGCACATATATGTTAGTGTTTAGTTTGTTTAGCAGTGAACAAAATGTTTGACCTCAGGACCTGTAGAAGTTTGTTTATGGAAGTTTCCTATGGAAGTAATCTTTGTAAAATATGGAAGTTTGTTTATCATATTTATATGGAACAACAAGTAGAACTGTAGAAGATGATGTCGATCAGGGTATGTTTATCATGCTATATTCATCATTGATCTGATTTTGGTGTAGTTGTTGCTGCTGAGCAAAGAAGAAGCTTTATAAATTGTTTAATTTGGATCCTGCTACTCTGCACATTTCAACCTCATTTATTATTTTTGTTGCTCCTTCAGTTTGCTTTTGATTTTCTTGGTTCAAGTTTTTATCTTTGTAGTTATTAGTTGGTACACCTGATGCATAAAATTAGATTTGTGGTTGCTCGGTTCGTTAGATTTGTGGATGTTTAAAAATCTCTCGATAACAATATTTCAAATTTATTATGCATTCGATAAGCTAGAATGGTCATATAATGGTTTTAAAATGAAACAAAAATGCAATAATGATATGAAAATTTGTGTAAGTATTTCTTTTTATTAAAAAAAAAGGTGCAATAATTATTTTTTGACAAAAACTGTTTTTGAAAAAGGTCTAATCCAAATGAATTTTTAATATTTTTAACTACAAAAAGCTTTTTGTTAAATTTTTGTCCAAATGGATTTTTTTTCAAAAAGTCTTTTTGAAATTTTGCTTCAAAAAGACTTATTTGAAAAGCTTTTTAAAACTCTTGTCCAAATGGAGCCTAAAATTTTTTTGGGTTTGTCGACCCAACCTGACAACCCGAACCCGATACGTATTGCCAGCCCTAGGCATAAAACCTTGTTGTCTCCGTCAGAAGGATTAGCGAAGAAATTGAATTGAGTTTATTATTTTCTTTATCCATGTACTTTGTTTTTACATTTTTCGGATGTCGATCCTAGCCGGATCTGACAAAGTGGTATCAGAGCCGAACAATCCTCGGCTCGAATCACAGCCAAACAGTCCTTGGCCGGAAATATCGTTGCCAAGCATTCCTTGGTCAGAGTCAGTACCATATCAGAGCAATTCCGCCGGAGGTAGGGATGAGCAATCCTTGGCCGGTGAATGCTAAATTTATGACGAATCGGACTATGGTTTCAACGGCAGCGATACTCTCATCAATTACGGGAGACCGACAAGAAAAGAAATCTTCACCGATATTTTCAACTTGCTGGAAGAAATTCGTGGTACTAGAGGTTGTCATTTCGAAGCGGTGAACTCTCAATCGGAGGATTTGGAAATTTCTGAGCCTAAATTGCCAACCCCATCTAAAGAACTGTCACCGAAAGATTCTTCTAAAATGGTGACTCCTCCATCTTGGATTGAACTACTCAGATTCTCAGGCGATAATCCAGAGGCGTGGCTCCAAAATTGCAACGAATACTTCTCAATTTTGTCTATTCCAGAATCCAATCGATTGGAGATGATTAAGCCCTACTTAGAAGAAGTCGCTGAGATTTTGTTGGAAGCAATGATGATGTTGAAACCTAATATGACTTGGCTTGAATTCTCTAAAGGTTTGGTTAAGCGTTTCAAAGAAAAGAATGAGGAAGCCGAAATTCATCTGACCCTAGGTAGCCGAGGGGAAGAAAGAGGTAATTCTATCATTGTACATGCAATGGATGAATCTAATTTCAATGATGATGAGTATGTTGGTCCTAAACTAACTGATGATCATATGGTTTCGAATAAGATTGATTGTGATGATAGGGAAAAGTTTGATGAAGTATGTGCGCTTACAACGATGATGCTTCCTTAGTAGCTTTTGGAGGTGATTTTCAGTTATTAAAAGCGGTAAATGATGATGATAATTTGTCTAGAAATGTGGATGAAAATTTTATGATTTTGAATGATGTTGATGATGATTTTCTGATTGATGAGCTTTTGTTTACTGGTTATGATGATAACAATTCTCCCTTAGATTCTTTGGTTCATGATTTTGAAAATTTGAATGGGGCCGGTGCGACGTTGATGAGTGCAACTGTTAACTCTTGTGATGAAGAGGTTTCAAACGTGAACCTAGTTGACCCTGTAGCTTTAGAAGATAATTTTCTGTTTATGGATGATATTGTTTTTGATGAAACTCCAGTTGAAGAGGATGGGGGTGTTGATTCTGAATGTTTGACAGAGGAACGTGCTGATGTTTTCCTGGTTTATGATGCACTGCTGAATTCTGATGTTAATGTTAACGGTTTGCTTGAAAAAGTATATGAAAATTCTGTGAACCTGACGGTTGTAGCTGATGATAGGAGTTTGCATGAAGAAGATGGCTCAGTGACTTTGGAATTTAGGGATAAAGAACTGATGTTAGTTGGATGTGAGAGCACTATGGTTAGAAAAGGTTTAATTTACACGGGAACCATCTGAGTTCCTTCTCAATAGAACCTGGTGGAATGAGAAATCATTTTGTTAAGGACTTTGTGAATGATTTAACGGCATGTACTTCTGATAATGGTGGCCAATCTGTAGAGATTTTGGGTGATGAGTTAATGATTATTGATGAAATGCTATTATCTATTGTTGATGATCCTTTGTTGAAACAATTGAGTGAAATTCTATGATGTTGACTCCACTGAATGAGTTTATGGATATTGACTTTGGATTTCCAAAAGGATTAAATGTTGATGATTTTCAGGTTTTTGATGAACTGTGGAATTTGAAGATTTTGACCCTTGCTACCTGAAAATAATGATGATGACTCTTCCTTCTTGGCTGATCACTGGAAAGTCAGCGCTACAGTTCATTATTTCAAATAAGATCATGGTATGGATTCATTTTTGTGGTACGATTATTGGGAGTCAATGGTGCATTTTTCCTTATACTATTTGTGTTACATTCCTGAGTTATGACATGCTAGAATTGCTTATTCAAAGTTTTGGGATGGTAGCTCTTCATTTGTCTTTATACCTTGAGGGCAAGGATGCTCTTAAAGGGAAAGGAGTGGTACAACCTCATTTTGCTTTATTTGATATTAGATTGTGTGCAATGAGAATTCCTGAGATGTTACTCAAGTCTGTATATGATATGGAAAAAGCTGTAATCAGTAAAATCAGCAAGAGGAGATCATGAAATGTGAGGTTCACTTGTTTCAGGGGTGGTACTGCTTTAAAAGAATTTAACAGACTTCAGTTTCAAGTACTGCTTATGGATTCTATGGAAATTTTGAATTTAGAGGATGAAAGCACTGCAACCATTAATTTGATTTCTAAGTTTGAAATGAATAGTCTTGAGATGGCTCTGAATGGTAAACTGAATCTGATGCTCAGTCGGCTCACTAGAAGCTCTCTGCTTTTACACATGGGGAAGCATTTCAGCTCTTTGGTTCATCAACAATTGCTATCAAAAGCATTCTGGACCATGCTGAGGGAGGTACATCACTTAGCTCTTGACTATTACAGCTCTCTATGCAAAAGGTTTTATGTGGACAACTATGGAGAGCATGGTAGTTTTTATACAAGGAGTTTCACCAACCCTTGTACTCCCTCCGTCCCATAATTATTGTCCAGTTTTACTAATATGAAAGATTTTATTTTTGGTCAAACTTAACTATATTTTACCTTAAACAACCGGATATACCCCTATATGAGTAATTGTTTAACCACTAAGATTTTATGAATAATGTTTTTTACTTAGGACAAATGTGTAACTTGATCCATAAAAAGTCAAATTGGACAATAATTTTGGGACAAAATTTTTTGAGCAAAGTGGACAATAATTATGGGATGGAGGGAGTACTTGTTATTAACTCTGATCTTGGAAATGAGATTTGTAACATGACAAATGAGGGAGAAGCATCAACGCAGGCAACCTTTGAACCATTCATTCATGTTACTGCTCAAAGGAATGAAGTATGGCTGACAGCAAATGATTGGAAGTCACAACCTTTATATCATGTCTTGGCGTGTGTATTATCTTTGAACAGACCTCGAAGACCATGGGACAAGATTGTCACTATATTCAAGGGGGGCACCGTGTTTTACAAAATGAAGGGAGCATTTACTGCTGGATGTTATCTACTAGAAACTACATCTAGAACTTCTCGCCTATCAACCTTGGAGTTTCGGCAACAACCTTTCTACCTCCAACTACTATTATTTCGAAAGGCAATGACTATCTTCTTCTTTGTGGTCCTAGAAATGGGAGCTGTATGGAGTATCATTTGTATTGATTCAGTTTTAGTCATTCAAGTCTTGAGGACATGGCTTATTTAGGGGAAGGGATTTGTCATAAACTAGAGAGTTTAAATAAAATTAAGCAGAAAATATAAGGACTTAATCGCAAATATGTAATAGTTGGCAAATTGCAGACGGCGTAAAACCTTGTCGTATCCGTCAGAAGGAATAGCGAAGAAATTGAATTGAGTTTATTATTTTCTTTATTCTTTTACTTTGTTTTTACATTTTTTGGATGTCGATCCTAGCCAGATCAAAGACCAAGCCCAAGCCCACATCAACCCAAGCCCACATCAACACCCCCTCTCAATCAACTTTACCTCTCTCTGTTTTCTCTGTTCTACATTTCGCCACCGTCAACCAAAATATTTCTTCTTCATCAACTTTAATTCTCATTTATTTGAAAACGTAGGTTGAAATCATTGTTTGTAGAGCTAGGGGCATCTTGAGGATGCTAATGAACAACAATCATAAAATATGAAGATGTATAAATCATCGAAATCATGTCAATTCCGGCATACCTCTGGTTTCGACATAAGGCCGTTAGTTAACTAAATTCAGTGGGGGCACATGCCCCAGTGCCTCCACTTTAGCTACGCCACTGCGTGGGTTTACCCATCTCTGGTGGAGTTCCTAGCGTTACCCAAAAAAAAAAAAGGTTTCACTGTTATTACAATAATTTAAATACCTCCAAGACACCAATAAATATTGGCTACATTGAGGAATAGTTTAGAGGAAAAATAGCACTCCTTCCGTCCTAAAAAAATAGTCCAATTTGAAAGACTAAAATATAAAAATTAGATGATTTAATCTTGTGAAGTAAAAAGTTAATATGAAAAATTGAATAAAATTTCATGACTATTTATCAGTTTTAGTTTAGAATGATCTCATAACTCTAATTTTAATATTTATATTTCTAAAATTGGACTATTTTTGTGGGACAAAAGTAGTACAAAATTTAAAAGTTGTCCGATCAATAATCGGAAAATGAAATTTGACTAGATTTAGACCCAATTAGAAACATATTGAAATATATATAAAAAAAAACACATTAAAGTTAAAAAAAAGTTCACGCCTCCTCAAAAGAATGATACAAAAACATTTTTCTCGGAATTTTTTAGCGATACAAATGATGAACTAAGATTGAAACCCTGTTTCTATTAACTCTGCAATCTAGATAGTTTTCCGAAATTCACCTTTTTAAATACAAAAAAACAAAACATGAAAAACCCTCACACTGTTACCTCCTCATATTTTCATCAAGTGACACTTGTAGCCCTTTTGGTTGGGAGATAGTTTTGTTTCTTTTCAGCTCTTAAATTCTTCATAGATAGATAGGGTCGTGAAAGAGACTCCTCTTCTATGATACTTTTTTTTTTTTTTGGATATATAATTGAATTGAATTACTTTGTTGAAGATATTGAACTTGGTTCCATCGAATGTCGTACTCTGAAATACAGCAGCAAACTCTGCTGATTATTATCACCCGATGTTGGCAACAACTTCTCTTACGCCATTTAACCGCCACTTTTCCCCACTTCTCCTCCCTACCAAATCCAATTTAAATCTCTTTGCCCAAAGTTATAAGTCTCCCATCTTCAGAAATGGCAGAAACCCATGTCCCTATTCCACTTGTTGCTCACTCTACAAGAAGCTAACTCGAGTTTCTGCCACAAAGAAACAACAGCAGCAAGACGAGCTCCTACCAGAAACAGGTGATCCAAGATTGGTTCTTTTGTTCCTGTCCGGTATTGATTGCATGACACTGATTTTGTTAGTCTTTTGTAATATATATTTTGTTCACAAAAATGGAACAGGGGATGAAGATAAGTCATTACAAGAACAGGGTTCTGATGAAGACACTGATTTGGGATGGTGGCCTGCTTTTCCTCATGTAATGATTGCTTCCATGTCCAATTTCCTTTTTGGATATCACATTGGGTTAGTTCCCTTCATCCCTAATTTAAAAAGCTTAAAGCTTGAAATGTTATAGGGTTCTTTGCATATAGCAAAATGGCAATTGGTAAGTTACCCAGAAATGTTATCGGGTTAGTTTCCTAGAAATGGAAATAATGTCAAGTGGGCAGCTGAATGTAGCTTTGCTAAGTTACCTGAAGAAGGGAACCATAACTAAATGGCAGGGAGATTGCAGATAACTCGGAATTATACCTAAGTTTTTCCTGAGAACAAGTTATTTCTGTTGGATTATGATAAATTGAATGCCACTGTGGAGGCACATCTTTTTGAGTTGTTGAAAAAGTAGATAATTGCGTTCCTTTATTCATTTTCCCTCTTGCATTTGTTTTTGTTTATAACTGATAGATAAAGTAGTCTGGTGATTCTGTACGAGAACTCTGTTCTATGCCTTTAGGATCATGTTTCAATATCACTTCTTGTTGAATCAGACCTATGTCAAAAGAAGAGGCCAAGACACCTATAAAAACACCGCAAGACATTACTTATTTTCTTCGTTTATTCATTGGATCGTTTGATGCAGAGTCATGAATGGTCCTATTGTGTCGGTTGCCAAAGAACTTGGCTTTGAAGGGGATTCTTTTCTTGAAGGACTTGTTGTGAGTATTTTTATTGCCGGTGCATTCATTGGAAGTTTAAGTTCTGGTGCTTTCGTGGATAAGCTTGGATGTAGGCGAACATTTCAAGTTGCCACCATACCACTTATTCTGGGTGCAGCTATTTGGTAATATCCTTGCTGTTGACTCAGTTTGGCATTTCCTTCCATTTGAAATTTTGCTGTAAAAGTAATCACTCCAAGTGACTTTCTATTTTCTTGGGTCCTTCTTTTTATACCTGCAAAATAAGGAACTATGTTTTGATTAATGCCAATCACAATTTGGCTGTTGAATCTTCATTTTCTTGTGGATAAGGTCCCCCTACTTTTCTATATGCTTGAGCGAAGAGGTAAAATAATTGAGAAGAATTTAGAATCAATTTTCACAAATGGTGGCCCTATGAACTTGATGCTAATTGCATGGGATGTGTTCGATATACCCATCTACAGTTGATACTCAGCGGGTTGCGTACCATCCATCCTATGTTCGAATACTACCACAAATGATCTGTAGGCATTGTGCTTGGCACAATAAGTCTGGCCTTACTTTGCACCTCCATCCGCATAAAATTAGCTTTCACTTGTTATTTTGCCACGTGTCTGCTTAATCATTAGTAGAAGTAGGAAAGCCAAAATTATACTTATACTTCTTTGCTTTTTATGGTATGTTGCAATGTTATGGCTTGTCAAATCTTTGTCTCCTGTTCTCCATTCTGTAGCTTCTCTCATTTTGTGTAATATTTCTCTTTATAAACTCTTCTCATCTCTCCACTTTTTATAAATGTGGCAGTGCACAAGCCCATTCCTTAGACGACATACTTTGGGGAAGACTTCTGGTTGGCCTGGGCATTGGTGTTAATACAGTCCTTGTTCCTATTTATATCTCAGAGGTAAACCTTTAGGGTAAACTTGCAAAAGTTGTTTTGTGCTTCTCTATTACACCACTTACCTGCTTATTGACCACCTTGTTTGAAACTTTAGCTCTTACCCAGAATGTTGACTAAAGTATCTTTGAAAACTTGTACTTGGATAATGAAATAAAATGTAATTTAGAGAACTAAAGTAAAAAAAGATTTGAATAAATATACCTACAAAATGCCATCCTATGCTAAGATGCTAATGGTCTAAAACCATTCATTGAATCATTCATTGAATCTGATGTATTTGAAGTTGCTGTTCTGGAATTTCAATTTAATTTTGATTTCTAATAGAGAAGTGGTATCTTTCACTGTTATTTCATGTATTTGTTTTCCTTGTAAGAGAATACTTTTTAATCATTAGTAACGGTTTTTGTGTTTTTTGGGCTGCTATGCGACATTGCCGAATGTAGAAGTCAATGTGTACAGAACATAGTCATCCTCACGGCATTTGTGGAACTACTGTTACATGTTTTCCAGGTTGCTCCAACGAAGTACAGGGGTTCATTGGGAACGTTGAGTCAGATTGGAACATGTCTTGGAATCATTGCCTCGCTTTTTCTAGGACTTCCCTCAGAAAGTGATCCTCATTGGTGAGTACAATTTATACCTTGGCTCTGTGTTTGGAAATTATGGCTGGTGTTTCCCCTTTTCTTTCATGTTTCCACTGGTTACGTGGTTGCACATTTTCTACACTGGTGTTCCTGTTGCTGTTTAAATATTCATTTTTAAATTTTTTATTCTCTTTTAATATGATTATTTTGGTATTTCTCGCTTATACTTCTTACATAGAGGGTAAATGTGACAAATGATGGTCTGTTAGTGGCAATTCAAAGAATATGGCCCGCATAATCACTATGTGAATTCATTGCTCTTCTGTTGCCTGCTTGTTAGTTGCATCTGAAGCCCCTTAAGATGTAAAGCTGTATGTACCATTGTCGGGTAACCAATTGACCAGTGTATGTGTCTTGATACATGTCAGGTGGAGGACAATTCTTTGGGTTGCAAGTGTCCCTGGGTTCATTCTGGCCATTGGGATGCAATTTGCTGTGGAGAGTCCTCGTTGGCTATGTAAGGTATGTTTTAAGTTTTTCCCAAACACGCTAATGAGCATCCATTCAGACCATAATTCCTAAATCAGTTCAGGAATTCTTAGGCGGGAAGATCAGATGATGCTGTAGAAGTGATCAGGAGAGTCTGGGGGCCATCAGAAGTCAGCAAGGCTATAGAAGAGTTCCAGTCTGTCATTAGGAATGATGGAGCTGATCTTGACAGTAGTTGGCTGGAGCTCTTAGAGAAGCCCCATTCTAGAGGTTGTATTAAGGTGGTGTTTTTTATGTGAATTTTCACATTTTGATTTGTCTTTCCGTTGAGCAATATGTTACCTGTTGCAAATAGTCTTGCCTAAGCTCTTGTTGATGCTGGAATGTATCCATAGTGTTGTTATTATTGCAAAGTGGTCTTGATTTTGGTTTTGTTGGCTCTAACATTGCGAGCTTCCTTATTCTGCATACAAAATAATGCTTTTGTTTCTCCTTTCTTGTCCCTGGCAGTTGCATTTATTGGAGGTTCCCTTTTTCTACTTCAACAGTTCGCTGGTATAAATGGAGTTCTCTACTTTTCATCCTTGACCTTTAAGGATGTTGGAATCGCAAGTAGCTCTTTGGCGAGCTTATATGTTGGACTTACCAATTTTGCAGGTTCAGTATTGAGATTCATTACAGCATAGATATGCTAGTGCTTTACATATCATCCATGAGTCGATGTTCGTTAAGGAAATTCTAACTCTTTCTCTTGGTTTTTGATGACCTGCAGGGGCACTTTTTGCCTCATACTTGATGGACAAACAGGGAAGGAAAACGCTTCTCATCTCAAGCTACTTGGGAATGGTAACAGAACTTTTTCTAGTTTTCTATAGCAATATTTACTGGGTATTTTTGAGTGGCAACTGCTATCTATACATCGTATGCAATGGATATGAATGTTTCTGTTCAATGCATGTTAACCGTGAACTCTTTACAAGAACTAAAGAAACTGATTGTCACAAATTTATTTGTGCCTTGTAAGGAAGTGGAAAGAAGAAAGGACTATGATTTGTTGTGTGTCTTGTCCATTTTCTTGGTTAAAGAAGAGATTAGTGGGGAAATGTATAGAGTGAAACATTTATTGAAATATGATAAGCATTCTTATACAATTAATGCTCTCTAAAATGCCAAAGTTTTCTGTCACTTGTCATAACTCCCTTATCATTTGTCCTTTCTGCAGGCCATTTCGATGTTTCTTATTGTGTTTGCAATCAGCTTCCCTGTAGACAAGGAAATTGGCAACTCCCTATCTATAGTTGGAACTACACTGTAAGTTTTCTAACTTATAGTTATAGGCCTGTGTGTACATGCAAAACTTCCATATACGTCATTCTGATGCACTGTTCATCATATTAGTGAAATCCTTAACGTGTTGACAGATTCAAAAGATTATAATCCAAAATAGCATGACCTGTAGTCCTTGTATGTTTCGGAGGAGCAACAAATTTGACATCCTTCAAGCATGAATGAGTTTTCGTACTATTTGGTGTTTAATTTTGATCTTTCCAAATTTGATAACACTACCACCATCATCCTAAGAAAATCACAGTACATTCCTTTTGTAAATCAAAATATCTTTATTGTTTTTGTTCACCTGATATTTGTTTCTACGGAAGAATTAATCTCCAGTTACACTATAGGTACATATTTACCTTTGCTATTGGAGCCGGGCCAGCAACTGGTCTTGTTATTCCGGAGCTTAGCAGCAGCAGAATGAGAGGAAAAATCATGGGATTCAGTCTATCTGTTCACTGGGTTAGTACATGCATCGTCTCCTGTGTGATAATAACTTGAACTGGCTACGTTTTTACTCATTCATTGGAACCTAGAGATAGAAGAATTAAATGAATGAAATGGATTTTGCTATTTGTCCTCGTTCAGTCATCCCTGGTCTTTTCTTTCTTTTCTGCTTTCTTTCTTGTGGAAGGGTCGATTTCTGAAGCCTTGATAGAAACCGCTAACATTCCCATCTTATGGAAGGGTCGATTTCCCCCTAAACAAGAGAGTCATCTTTCTGTTTTTTGTGTTTAATAGTTGCATCTCACATATATACCTTTGTTAATATGCTCATCCGAGGAATTTTTTTTATTTTTTTCCTAACCTGGAAATTATGTCCCAAATCCAATTTTTGATTGGGCTAAAATTAATCAGTCACATCAATATGATCATGCACGGTTCAGAGTGTAGTAAAAGGGTACAAGGGCAAAAGAAAAAGAACTTTACAAAAAGTTTATTCATTGTCATGTACCTTGCAGGAAAAAAAAAAAGTTCATTGTAAATACACCTGATGGCTCTTGTTTTAGGAAGAAGAGTGTAATTCTTGAAAAGGCGTGGTTAGGTCTATTTGACTCTTCCATCATCTGAAATTGTAGGATTGTTTTTGTTAGTGTACTTGCTAAGATGTATCTTTTCTAAATCAAATGGTTGTTTGTTAGGTTTGCAACTTTTTAGTGGGATTATATTTCCTTGAACTGGTGGGCATATTTGGTGTGGCTCCAGTTTACGCGGGCTTTGCTGCTTTTTCCTTGCTCGCTGCAGCATTTGCCTACTATTTTACGGTGGAGACTAAAGGACGGTCGCTTGAAGAAATCGAGATGTCTCTAAATCCTAGTTTCCGGGGTAGGAATTAGTGATGACATGTCAACATCAAGCAAATCAACCTGGGATTTGAGTTTTCCGCAGAAAGTGTCTCTCTTACAACAAGTTTCGGAAGAGTGCTTGGTGGATCATGACTTTGGTGGTGTTTTCTATGGATAAGGAAGGTTTTAGTGGTCACCCCAAATTTTGTGTGCAAAGTGTGGACCGTTTTACATATTTTTGAGCATCTTTAGTGATGGTAATAACAAGTAAATTATCGCCTTTTCACCATTAAATAGAGTATAATAATTTGAAAAGGTGAAAGAATTTTTTAGTTTTATGGCCCAATATGTTCTTTTTATGGTTCATGATTATATAATTGTAATTTATGTTATTATACCTTTACCGTACAAACCAAGTTACGAAAAAGTAGATTGAAAGTATATAGTGATGATGTAATTGTATTATACCCGTAGTGACATAAATCATTGTGGATTAAGTAATTATTTTTTTAGCGTGCAAATATTATATGACGGCATATAAATTGCGATTGGCGGACACAACAAGACCAAGCAATTAGGGTTGGTCGAATGGTTAAGAGCCCTAATTTGTGAAATTGCTACCCTAAACAAGATATAGCATTCGGTATTGTAAATTGACTCGGTAGTTGAATGGTTAAGATCAAAATTTAGTAAATTGTATATTGTGGAACTGGTTATATCATTTTAGGCGGATATATGGATTAAAAATAAAAATTACATAGAAATGAGAGAGTTTGCCATTTTTAAATCTTAACAATCTATAAAAATCCTCAAAACCAAAAGGTACAAGTGGAAGTGTTTAAGAGTGTTGGTAACAAGCAACTCTAATAATACACATTTGGAATAAATTGGATAATGTAATCTACAACAAGTGGAGAAAAATCTAAAAGTAACAACAAATGAGAAAGGAAAAAAAAAAAAAATTAGTCACCTTTGATTGATATAGAACTTGTGACCGCGCACAAGTATGTAACCAACGTTAGGAATTCATCTCGATAGAGATCTATCAGTGATAGTGAATCCATATTTTGCCTGATTTCAAATAAGAGAGCTAAACTATTCCACCTACCAAGCCTCTAAAGACTTGAATATTGTTTAAATCTCCTTTTGTTTATTTTTACCCTATTAGAACAGCATATAAACAGATGAGGTGACAATTTCTGGTAAAAAAATTTTCCGCCCAAACTAATGAGATTGGAGGAACAATTTTGACACGTGACACATCATTTGACCATCAAATACAAAAAAAAAAAAAAACCTACTTCCTGAAGAAAAGATTCTAAAGCACACTTGTAAATCACAAATTTTTTTTAAATCCACTTCAGTGAATCCCATTTAAATGTGGGTAAAATCCCTCCCCACAACCCTAGTGGGAATAGAACCCTGATTTATTACCAGGAAGGACAACAATCTAACTACTAGGTTGTCATTCAAATTTAAAGCTCTTTATCAAATTTAATTGATACAATCATATTTTTTTTTTCTTGGTCCGTTGATTGCCTGGGTCATTTTAAATAACTTTTTTTTTTTCAATTTTGTGATATCACGAAACTTTTTACGTTCTTAGAAAATTATAACTTGACATCTAAAAAAAAAAAAAGAGAGAAGGAAAGAAACCTGGGTTAGATTTAAGTAGAAAATGTCTAATACAATGGAAAGTGTTAGATTTAATTTGCGTCACTTTAAATATAGGAGGTCAAAGATAAATAAATGACTTAGTTGATAATTATATATACAAAAAAAGAGAAAAAAAAAAGAAGAAAGAATCAAAGTGAAAACATACTAGATGAAAGGACATGTTTTTTTTGAAACGGTCAGGGGACTTAGGACGGCTAAGTGATAAAATCAATTGACCTCTTTTTATTAATTAAAGAAATGTAGGGTAGCTTGGAGTTTTGTTAACTTGGGAACAAAGTTTTGCTATATACATTTAGCCTGTTTTAGTAGAAACCAACACGGGTATGCAGTAAATTTCCATTTACTGCTAGACTAAATGGGGAACGAGATGAAGATGAATTTTACATAGCTAAATTAAATGATCATATATGAATTTCAAGACGGAATTCTTTAAGGGGGAAGGAGTGTGACGACTACGGAATTTATACGTGCTTTAAGTTATTAAATAATAAAGTTAAATAGGTAGATTTATAGTATTCGAATTAAAGAGATTCAAAACTATAAAAAGTGTTCTAGTGAAGATTAATTCGGAGGGAATAAAATCAGATTATGTAATATAATATTAGCTTGAAATGGTCTACGAGATTCAGAAGGATCTGCAAAATGAACAATTGGATGATCCACCTCAGCAGCACCATCTTCCAGAAACTTCAACAGAAGAGGTTGATGTTGATCACATGGTAATGCAGCATGTGCTTCAATTGTTGTAGTGTAAATATGTTGGTGTAAATAGCTTGTACATATGTGATGTGGAATTAGCTTAGACTTTTGTGTAAATAATTCCAGCTGGATATTAGTGTAAATAAGGCAGTTTAAGATTAGTATTAGTTAGTATAAATACTAGTCTTTAATGAATTCTGTAATTTAATGAAATACAGAAAATAAAACCGTTTTTCCCCAAATTGAGAAAATTCTCTCTCTTCATCATTCTTCTTTGTTCTGCCATGGCTAACCCTAGGAAGCTTTTCATGGTATCAGAGCCATAGGCTCTCGATTCCTGAATTGCAACCGTAAAAACCTTCCTCTTCTCTACCGATTAATTTCTACCGGATTTAATTTTCTGTTTTCTTTGAAGAAATGGATTTTTTTGAGATCTCTCTTGCTCAGAGATTGGCCGAAGAACAAAGGATTCGTGAGGCTACTCTTACTTTACATTCTTCTGAGCATCCCGGTCTTGTACTAGTGTCTGCTCTTTAGATGAACACAATTATCTTTCTTGGAGTCGATCTATGCGTACAACACTGGAATCGAAGATGAAGGTAGCTTTTATCGATGGGAGTTGTCCTGAGCCACCTGTTGATTCTCTGCTACATGTGAGGTGGAAGCAGGTTGATTCTACTGTAAAGTCATGGATTATGGCGTCGATTTCCAGAGACATTGCAGACAGCTATATGTATGCTATGTCAGCAAAGCAGCTTTGGAAGGATTTGGCAGAACAATACGGTACGTCTAACTGCAACAAGCTATATAATATGAGGAAGGAAAGAATTGCAGTGCAGCAAGGTGACAATTCACTCATAAAATACTATAATTCACTCAAAAGAGACTGGGATCAGTATGAGCATTATCGTCCTTTACCGGTATGCACACCGGATGTTGCAAAGGTCTTATTGAATAGAGATCAGGAAGATAAGCTCATTGACTTTCTTATGAGATTGAATAAATCATATGAAGCAGTTAAGGATCAAATACTGTTGATTGATCCACCGCCTACTATTGGGCAGGCATATGCCATGGTACAAAGGGTAGAAAAGCAACTTAGGCCAAATACTAGTGGTGTTTTGAACTCAGAAAACAGTGCGTTCATAGCTAATAATCCAAGGAATTATGCACTACTGGGAAACACAAGTGCTATAAATCAGTTTGGTCAGATGGTTGCAGCAGGAAACTCTAGGAATCTTCAAGGGAATAGTGGTGGAAATGGTTCAGTCTTCAACAATGCAAGCACAGGACTGTTAGCTAAACCGCAGATGTCACATATGCAATTTGAAAGAAGGAACAACACAGGATCAGGAAGCAACTGGTTAAGTAAGAAGGAGAGATCAAAGCTCCTCTGTACGCATTGTAATAGGACTGGTCACCTAAAGGAAAGGTGTTTTCTACTTGTGGGATTCCCTGATTGGTGGAAAGAATTCAAGCAAAGGACTGGTAATCAGAATGGTAACAATGGGAGAAACTTTGCTCATATTGCAGAGGCAGAAACACCGTTGGAGTTGGGTGAACCTAGATTGGACTGGAACACTATGGCTAAGCAGATCAACCAGATTCAGCACAATTTCAGCACCTTAATGAAAGGAAAGAATGCTCAGCTAGGATTAGTGGATCAGAACCAGCACCAAGTCAGCTTTGCCCACTTCAATGAGTTTGCAGGTAGCTCTACTTATGCTCCTTTACATAACAGTGTCATTTTAGAGGATGATATTGGCTTCTTTGATAGTGGTGCCACTGGGCACATGATTCACACTTTTTCTTGGTTTCATACGTCTAAACCAGTAGATATTCTTACCCCTGTTAAACTTCCTGATGGATCATTACAGTACGTTCAACAGACAGGGCAAGTCTGCTTGAATAATAGGATTACTTTAGAAAATGCTTTGTTTGTGCCTACTTTCAAATACAATTTGATCTCAGTAAGGAAACTTGCACAAACTGAAAACCTATATTTTTCTTTTCTGTCTGATTTGTGCATCCTGCAGGACCTCATGACTGACAAAGTCTTGGGTGTTGGAGTGGTGTACAAAGGACTATATGCACTCACTAAAGATTCTTTTAATCCAGACTTCATTAGACATTCTGTTCAGCTTCATTTTCCCCGAATGTTTCTTAACTACTTTAGATTCTTCTGTTTTCACTTCTACGTGTAATAACAATGTTGTGGCCTTGAGTGTTCAACGGCACAACCGTTTAGGTCATCCTTCTTTTCCTGTCTTGAAGCATCTTGATAAGCTCTTAGATTGTAAAGTTCATAACGTTGAATGCTGTGATATTTGTCCTTTGTCGAAGCAGCAAAGACTTGTATTTCCAGATAGTTCTATCAAATCTGTTGTTCCTTTTCAGCTTATTCATGTTGATCTATGGGGACCTTATAGTCACCCAAACCTCTCACAAACACACTACTTCCTTACAATTGTTGATGATTTTAGTAGAACCACTTGGACACACTTACTCAGACACAAAACATCAGTTGTTCAAGTTTTACAGACTTTCTTTTCTATGGTTGCAACTCAGTTTCACGCAACGGTTCAGACTATTCGTACAGACAATGGCAGTGAGTTTGTCAACCAACACTGTCAAGATCTTTTCTCTTCATTAGGAATTCTTCACCAGAAATCTTG